AAAGGGCTTTTCTTTGGAAACTTGGCTCCTCGACAGCAGCTGCAGATGGAGGCGGCTCACTGGGCACCAGGGGACGGGCAGTTTCTTCTGCCCCCAGCGATGCCTTCCGTTGTGCAAACGAGTAGGTCGCAGTCCAGCTTTTGCTGGGAGCAGAGGCGTACGCGCGGGAGCCGCTCTCCGGCAGGCTGAAATTGCGGGGCAGAGTGCTGAATTTTGGCTGCTTGGCTTTCCGGTGGATGTGAACCCTCCTGATGGTATTTCCTTTCTCAATGTCATCCACATACTTCAGAAAGTCCAGGTCTAAGTGAAAGCCATAGGGTGTTTCAACAGAGTAGGGCAGGCTTCGGGGCTGGTCTTTGTCCCCGTTGGATTTAGGTAGCTGATCGTTTGCTGAAATAAATGCAGGGGGGGAAATGATTGAATTTTAGATAGTTGGTAGATTAAAAAGAAAAAAAATCAAATACATGTTCAGAGCAGAAGGAGAACAGCAATTGCACTTTGCAGCAGCCTTAAGTAGTGCAGTGCAAATCATGCATCACTTCAGCAGCAAATACTGTCTCACAAGTTATTCCCTGCAACTAACGAATACAGAAAAGGACGGGAGCCTGACCCAGCTAACCAGCACTGCCTTATGTATTCATATCCGTGCAAACCATGTGCTTCCTACAGTCACTGGATGCGCTTCACAGAGCATATCTTCTAATGGAGGCAAATACAGCACCGTGAAATGTGTTAACTGCAAAACAGTCAATTTGTCCCCTCATCTGTATGCAAGGGGCAGGCAGAGCCTCGGCGGCGCAGGCTCGTGCCGCATACGAGCGGCTCTCGTGAAGGCAGATGCTGACACCAGACACGTCAGCAGTTTGGAGCAGCCATCAGTGTGATGCAGACACACTGGCTCTGTCTGGCACCTCTCTGTGTGGTCACTCCTTCCCCACTGTAAGCAGGGACCAGCAAGTAACTGCAAGGGACTTGCTGCAGGGAGGCCAAAGCAGAGATCTAGGTTATAAATTACTGCCTCTGGGGATTTAAACTTCTGCACCTGTAATGCAACACTGCGGTGTGCCCATGCAGAAGCAAACCTGGGCACCCTGCAGCCTGTAAAATGCCCAGGCCCCCAGTTTCAATCTCCAGTGTCTAAACAGTTAACCTCCAAATCCAAATTCAGGGAACAAAAGCAACAGCCTGCTTGTTGTTCATCTTTTTCTTTCTTTATGTGACGAGTCCCTGAAATGAAAGTGATTTTGACTGCTCCGCACCTTTGAGGAAACAAGCCACGATCTATAAACAAGGGGAGGAGTAGCCCAGCCAAGATAAAACACGTTTCATCACTGTTTCCTTTGTCTCCATCTTTGTGCAGCAGCTGTGCAGGGACTAGGAGAATTTGGCACCGATTTTAGACCCTTTCATCACAAAAGCACTACTGAAATGTAGCTGCCTTTCTGATGGAAAATAGCATGTGAAAATCAGAGCGATGATAAAGGGAAAAGGCAGCCCACAGTAATAGGGCACAAAAGCAAAGCCCCACAATTCCGAGAAGGACCTGCAAAGAGCAGAGGATGGGAGGGCAAATATGTGCTGATTTGTAAGAGCTGTAACCATGCTTCACCGTGGTGTACAACGGCTGCATAAGAAATAAAAGCTCCATTTTTCATCCCTTGGCCTTCATATCTAAAGAACACAGGTTACTTGCAGTATTTTGGGTGAGGAAAATACTTCAGGGTTTTTTTTTTTTTTTTACTTTTTTTTTCCAAGAAACAAGCAAATAAGCATCCAGTAACCTCCATACCATCTGTTTTCTCCATGATGTGGTCTAATCAGGCTGTCAGTTAAACATCCTCCGATGGGCTGGGACGGATGAGTCAGTTCACCCTTTAAAAAAGCAAATACACATTTTTAGATGAAAAAGATCAATCATCCCAATTTTACCTGTCCCTAAGGCCTTCCTTACACTGCTTCATAGAACTTCTTTTATTTCAAGTATTATGAAGCCTGACCATGTCTGGTGAGCACTTTTATGCATGCTTAGATCAACAGTTCCTTTTGTAGTGGTAACAAGTCTTGCTTCATAGATGCATCCACTGTGTTTCTTTCTTACAAAACACCCCCTGCACTACAAAACAACTATGTTACAGCTGGACACAAAAAAGAGAAAGGATAGTTTGTTAGGTCTACAGTCCCTGGCATAGGAACATTTCATTGATTACTGCAAGCTGGATATCATCTGCAACTTGCATCCTGCTTAATATGTCATCTCCTGGTGAAAACCCCCAGGGATCAAAACTGCGCAGAAGTGACTGCATTAATGCCTTAACATCCAAAGATTCAGAGCCCACACTGAACTGTGTTCAAATGCAACCCAGGATTCCAGAGCATATCCGTACTGTTACAGGGAGCCTTCACCAAACACAAGTCCACTAACACATATTACTCCTGTGGAAGCCATTCCTGTTGGAAAGATCTGCCAGCGAAGATGTACTGCAGCCTATTCACAAGCTTCATGTCCAGCCTGGTCTGTATTGCCCTCATCTCTCCTTCCATCATGGGGACATGGTAAGAACCTCCTGCACTGAAAGAGTTTCAGAGTTTAAGGCCAGGAACGAGGCCTTCTTCCACACTGTTACGTGGCAGCACTTCCTTCTTCTACATGCCACGTGCTCTAGGTGCCCCTGCTGGAGCAGGGGGGTTGGACTAGATGATCTCTAGAGGTCCCTTCCAACCTTAACCATTCTGTGACTCTGCTACAGAGAAGCCAGAAGGAGCAGGCTAGGGATGAGGAGGCCAAGGCAGATGCATATTGCTCTAGGAGGTGTCCTAACTTGCATGAGGAGATCATCAATGCTCCGAGTGAGAAGGTCTGTCTGTATTTTTGTTTCTGGTCTGGGAAAAAAAGCAAGGATTTCTTGGAGGGTAGGTTGATTGTTTAGGGGTTTTCTTCAAGTATCTAATCTGGTTCCTGGTCAGAGGGCCAAAGACAGACTCACAGCAGGTTAGAAATCCACCGCCACTTCTCCAAGTGGGCTGTAGTGGGTCCCTAAACTACATCAGATTTGCAGAGGAAGGACGAGGCAGCTTGGAGGGATGGCTCCTGGCCAGCAGGGAACGCAGCAGCGACCCTTTCTTTCAGAATCTAGTTCACATCCATATCTTTGATCAAAACATCAGTCTGAATTCATTTTCTGCTGTTAGTATTTTGCCTAAATAAGGACTTGAGCATTTCACCGTGCTTTCACTGCTCCATGTGAGTGGGATCCAGCCAACTTCTACCCCTCACATTGCCTGTTATGGCACCTACCTAGCACTAGCCATCTCCTTGAGCTTTTTTTTCCTTTTTTGCTGTGTCTGCCAGCAGAAATCTCCCTAGAGTCCTGGCTCTCAAGAGAAGCTCTGTCTAGTCTGTCCTTCCTATTCTGCTAAATTCCCCTTTTCTTATGTAATTATTTTTGCAACTTTCTACTTGTGGAAATGGCAAGACAACTGGAAGTATAGGTCAGAGAAGCAGAGAATAGAAGCGCTGCTGCTCTTCTCATTGCGAAGCACTGAAATGAAGTGTTTTAATTGCATCAAAGACCAACTGAGAAAGTGAAGTCAAATCCTGCTGCATTATCTTAGCGCAGATATACCGAAAGATCAAAATCCTTTAAAAAAACACAGTTGCAGTTTAGTTGTTAAGGTAAATCTGTATATAGCCATGATGGCATGTTTGGAAGGGCTCTAATCAAAGCAGAGTATTAAAAATGTTTCCATGGCAGGCACTTCGCTGCTGCTTGTGCAGCCAGACACAGAGCCTGACACCTGCCCAATGAGTAATTTGCTTATCCGCTGTGCGAACACCCCAGACTCAGCTCACAAAAGCCTGTTTCTGAGCCATTTTGAACAACAGACTCTTGATGTGTTCCCAAATTAACTGCATTTCTTCTATAAAAGGCAATTTCTTCTGTCTCTTCCTGCCAATAAATAGTGTGTGCCAAAATGAACACTAACCTCTTTTGCTCAAATGTTTTTTTTTAATTTTCCGATTACAGTCAATTATGGAGCAATTATGAATCCCAGCTACAGTACGACCAGTTACATTTCAGTCTTCTAGGTCATTTATTAAAAAAAAAAAGCCAGTCAATACGATGCTTTTTAATATCTACATAATTATATCTAATTGGTTCATTTATGAGTTGGCTCCGTCCCAACCCTGCAATCCAAATTGATACTATTACTTTTCTCTTTTGACCAATCTCTTTCAGAATCACCTCGTAAAAGGATGCTGAATGTACCCTACCAGCTTGTTGATGCTCCTGCATTTCCCCTGGTGCTATTTAGACACAGCTCTGATGGCTTGGAGCCAAAACCACAGGTCCTTGTCCCCCAACTGGTGCTCTCCAATGACTGTCCATAATAAAAATGAGAGCGAAACGAAGGCATCCATCCGAATAAACGTCCTGGAGACCCAGCTGCCTCCTGCAGCCACCTCAGTGCAAAGGAAGTGAAAAGGGGTTTAATTTCTATTAAGGAAGGAACTCTGCCTCTAGAAGGATAATCTTCCACCCAAGAGCCCGTTCAGGCTGCGGGTGAAAATCCCTCCACGTTTGGTGCAAACCTTTCAGGCAGCCTGAGGAGAAGAGGGTGCCCCTTGCTGGGGACAGGGAGATTAGGACACTCCAGCACAGATTTGGTGGCTTTGGAACCCTGTCAAAGGTGACCACGAGGCACAATGGGGATTTGCCTTCCGCAGAAGGGCTACAGTAGCTGAAGCCACCTACCTCCAACCATAAAAGCATCTCAAGTTGCCCTGGGCTGGCTCTCGTGCCCTGGGACATGGTGCTCCAGCTGGCTCCCTAACAGCCTGTCCTGGCCTCTGTGACGTGGAGCACTCACAGCAGCCCAAAATGCACCTTTCTGCCCTAAAATGGAACCTGGCTTTGGCACTACGTCTGCTGCAGCTCATCCTGCCTGCCCTTTTCACATATGGAAGGAACCCATTGCTGTATCCCCATAGTATTTAGAGAAATCACACAAACATACGATGGCAGTTCTGCAAAAATACCCTGAGCCCTGCTGTCATAGCGGTCCCAGAATATTCACCAGGAGGAAGGACGCTCTGCTCACCCTTCCCAGCTGACCCTGGCTCAGGTTTTTATGTGGATAGACTGTCCCTACATTACATAATACTGAAAATCACTACTTTAAACCCCAGGCAGACATCTCCGCATCCACAGCACCTTTGATTTCTAGTTTTACTGCACGCAACGGTTGTGGGGAGGATTGATCTGTGTTTATATTACACTGCTTTCCACAAGGCAAGCATAAATACGTAGAGAAACGCAAATGGAGAAGCCAAATATTTGAGGAGGCAATAGTACAGACCGGAGTCATTCCATCCCCTTGGGCAACCCATTTGCAGTGATAATGTACTGTCTTTTTAAATAGTCATGTCTCAAAACTATTTCTTTATTTAACCCTTCCTTTACTCTCTTATCACTTGCCAGGACATTATAAGCACCTACCCCCCTCCTCTCCTCCCCAGTCGCCCAAGTCAGCAGAAATGAAAGCAGCATTTTACCCCACAAGATTTAGAGAACAAATTAACTGCACCACAACGACAGATACATGCGTGAAAGTCATTCTCTGAGTGGATTTTGCTAGTAATATTAAATTAGAAACATTTAACCCCATGCCTATAAATATAAGAAGATAATTCATCCCTGCTGACCGAGTAGCACGCTAACCCGCTCTCATTAGCTCTAACACAACACGTTTTTTTAGCCGTGACTGTCATTTTCTCCTGCACTGCAGCAGTTCGATTTAGCACTTCATTATGAAAGGAAAACTCTCATTAGAAAAGCGTGTTATCGTGTTACCTTCTCATTCTCCCAGCTACAAAAACACCAGCGAGCAGAAGCGCTTTCCTCCCTCAGAGGTATCTTTCCCGGTGCTGAGAGCCAATAGTTAAGTGTTCGGAGCAGCAAACATGCGTTTTCCAGTTGTTAGAAAGTTGGTCAGCTGATCAGTGACCTTGCTTGAAAAGCAAACACAAGTTTGAAACAAGAAGAACAAAAGATGGATTAATTTCCTAATGAACCAAGCACATAAATCTCCTACGACCTTTTTGAAGACGGTTAAAACCTGCTCTGTAAAATCAGTTACTTTTTACAGGGGCATATTTAGCTTTTTCATAAAACACCGAATGCTAAATCCCGCTTGGGCTATCACTGGACTGTCTTCCTTATCAGGAAAGATTATTTAAAAGATGGTCAATTATTAACGATACATTTCTTATTATACCTGACGTTGCAGATCTTCCCACTGAGCCGCAGTTGCTCGCGTGCCGCATGGTAGCTGGGCTGAATATATTACTGAGCCTCTTTAGCGCTTCTCCCAAGAAAATTAAGGCAGCTGCCACAATTAAAAGGCAGCACCTTTACTAGAAGACACAGAATGTCTCAGCATTAACAACTCATTCTGTTTAAACCTCCTTTTCGCAGGGCTGGATGCCCACCCGGCTCAGCCCTGCGGGAGCTGGTGCGGGAGCAGCCGCTGGCGCCGCTGCCGACCCCTTGCCCTTCCCAAGCAGCACAACCCAAACGCTCCCAATGTCAGCGGGGAGAAAACGCGGCTCTTCTTTCTTTGACGTTACTTTTGGTCTGCAAAGTGGCGCCGCTTGCATTCTTTTAGGCTCAAAATGTAATTTTAGAAGATGCAGTTTCAAGAAAAACAGGCAAGCTTTGCCCCTGCAGGAACTAAGAGCCTGGGATTGCACAGAAGCAAAACGGGGCGCTCCAAGTCGCGAGTACTCTCCACGTCAGGGATGTGTTAACTTTCCACGAAACTAATGAAAAATGAAGTGCCCATTTCAGAAGCCTTTTAAAATTCCA